TTCCTCACTATGTTCTCTTCCCTGTGTTTTGGAACAGTAATGTATATCATGTGCTGTTATATATTGAAAATATGTTATCTGTTTTTTTTATTTGATTTTATAGGGGATTACAGTTAAGAGACTGCATGAATCTCAGAAGAGACTTTGGATATTTAAACATTGTTGAGACTGTGATAGACTATGAGAACTTTTGAAGTTGGACTAAATGCATTTTGCATTATAATACTGTTACAAGCTTATTGGGGGGCAAGGAGTGAAATGTGATAGTTTGAATAAAATTGGCTCCCATAAGCTCACAGGGAGTGGCATTATTAGAGGTATGGCTTTGTTGGAGTAGGTGTGGCCTTGTTGGAGGAAGTGTGTCACTGTGGGGCTAGGCTTTGAGGTCTTAAATATGCCCAAGCCACATCCAGTGTCTCAGCTCACTTCCTACTGCCTTTGGGATCAAGATGTAGCTCTTTCTCCACTCTCTGCTTCTTCTCCAGTATGTGTCTGCTTTCATGCTGCCATGCTTCCACCATGATGAATATGGACTAAACCTCAGAAACTGTAACCCACTCAATTAAATATTTTCCTTTTTAAGAATTGCCATGGTCATGGTGTCTCTTCACAGCAATAGAAAACCATAAGCAAGACAGCCTTCTATTCGTGAAGCTCAGTAGCTAGTGCTTCTCAGAAAAAAAAACAAGCCACTGTAACAGTGATGCCTCCAAACCAAGCAAGCTCTGAAGCAAACTAAAAAATGAAATTAAAGCCAACTAATACATCACCTATGATCACAAAAACAAAATGGCAAAGACAGTATGTACTATGAAGTTAAATCTGAGAATAGTGAGTAAATGGAATAAAGATATGGGGAAGAGGGAAAGAAAGACCAAAGTTACAGAAGAGAGAGAGAGAAAACGGAAAGGAATGGCACAGTAGGGAGAAGAAAGCAAGAGAGAAGTAAACATCTGTTTGGCAAGAAAGAAAAGCCTCAGCAAAATCAGAGGAGCATGACAAGAGAAATAGAAACTAAAATCTTTAAAAGTAAATACAAGAAACATTATATAAATAAATATAATAAATAAATACTAAAGATACTGTTAGGCATGTAGTCTCTGACCCCCCCCCAAAAAAAAAAAGTGTTGGAGCAGCTTTTGTTGGATCCTCTAAGATGGGAGTCTACCAAGGGAGGTGTTCTCAGCTGGAGCAGGAATCGCCTGTCTTCTCTGACATTTGGGCCACTGCTGAATTTGGACTGGCCAGGTGTCAGACATCTTCCAGGAAACATTCATTTTTTTATACTTACATGAAACTATAGATCACTTTATGACCTCAGACTTGTCCAGCTTAATTATTAGCATCTTGAAAGTAGAATGAGCAACTGAGACAAGAAGCAACGACTATCTTCCCTCCAGAGAGAGAGAGAGCACTCAGTTTTGTGAGTGTGTATTATTTATAATCCACAGAATGTGTTGAGCACATCATACATACTTATATTTATTAGTTATGGATTTTTTTGAGATATGGTCTTGCTATGTAGCTCAAGTTTGTCTCAGATTTGTGGTACTCCGGCCTCAATGTCTCCACAGCTGGCATTATAAGCACAGACATAAACACCTGGCTTTAGTACTCATGAGGTAGGTAAAAAGATATGTTAATTCTATACTGATATAGTAGGTACCATACTCAATATCCAAAATAGTTAAATATAGTCTTCCCTTTTCAAATCATACTCTGTAGAAAGAAGTCTTCCATGCATTTGTGGACTGTCTAGGTTAGTTAGAAGAAACAGTCTTGAATTTCTAAGTGACTGTCAGTAATTGATATTTCATGTTCTGTATATTTAAAACAGCCCTCAGTTCCATGCATTTGTGGACTGTCTAGGTTAGTTAGAAGAAACAATCTTGAATTTCTAAGCGACTGTCAGTAATTGATATTTCATGTTCTGTATATTTAAAACAGCCCTCAGATTCCCCCGATAAACCAAAGCTTCCAAGCTTTTATCCTCTATTCCTGTTAGAGGTAGTATGTGTTAGTTACCCTTCTTGTGACTGTGACCAAGTATCTGGCAAGGGCCTCTTGAGGATGGGTCTATTTCAGAGCACACTTCAAAGGATACAGTCCACCCTAGGAAGGTACGATGGAGGGTGGTGTTGTTTTCCACCCTAGGAAGGTACGATGGAGGGCGGTGTTGTTTGTGGTGACAGGAATTTGTAGTAGGGCTTGCTCACATCTTCGTAGGTGATGAAGCAGAGAGCTTGGCTAAACTGGAGCTCGTCTCTCAGGCTCAATCCCTGCCCTTATAGTCCCACATCCACCAGCTAGTCCCCATGGTCGAAAGGTTCTACAGTCCCTCAAGACAGAGCCACCAGCTTAAGACCAAGGGTTCAGACAAGAGCCTTTGGGGGCACATTCCACATTGAAGCTCCGTTCTTCAGATTTCAACCCCTCATGTGTAATTCCTGTCTCTGCTCTAATGACTTTGGTTCTCAGTGTTTTTCCTTGATTCCTTTCCTTAGTTTCTACTGTCCATCTACTCTATCCCTCAGCCTATGGCTTATTTCTCATTTTCTTTCTATTTTCATCATTATCTGATTGAGTTAGCCCTTTCTATTGTGATAAGATACACACATAACTTCCCAACTTAACCACTTAAATTATAGAGCTAATTGGCAATAAGTACAGTCCTAGCCTGTTCAGATGCCCCTCCCTGCCTTGGCCCCACCCCCACCCCCAGTCTCCTGAATCCCTACCAACCTTGAATCTGTAGATACCCCAGATGATAATCCTGTAATATTTTCATCTTCCAAATGTATATGCAGCTATATATGAGTTCTGTGGTTAGAGATTTGACATAAGAAAAACAATGGATTTATTAGTTGAAGATTCCACAGGAAGACCAGAGTAGGGCTTCTGAAACATTTCAACCTGTGACTTCTTTATGCCCATGAAATGATGATGCGACCCCAGATACATAGTTGTATAAAATAGGCATTCAAAGCAAATGCTAATAATATATCACAAAGAATATATATATTTAAAACAATAATTTGGTGCACATATAATTTTGCCATTTATGAAAGACAAGAGTAGACTTACGAATAAGAATGCATGTGGTAGTTCTTTTCACATAAAGCTTTCAGTCTTAGCTGGATGCTGAAGACTGGAGGGAGTGGAGCATCTTCATGGATGCTGGAGACTGGAGGGAGTGGAGGTCTTCAGTACATTTGAAGTCTGTGGACAGCTTTGTCAGTGTTAAGGACATGGCTTTGCATAGTTATATAAACAACATGACATGCATGTTTAGGGCATTTCAGAAATTGTTGGAAATTCTTCCCTAATCCTCAGCTAAAATGAATTGATTTATCTTTGATTCTCAAGTCAGCAACCTTAAGAGCCATGTTTTTTTGTTGTTGTTGTTTTGGTTTTTTTTTGTTTTTTTGTTTTTTTTTTTTATGCTGGGGACTGAACCTAGGGCCTTGCACATGGAAGCAATTGCTCTACTATTAAGATATATTCCCAATCCTTTAAGGACAGTTAAAAAACATTCTAATACAAACACTAAATTGGCACACAAATTTGATACTTTTACATACTGAGTGATGACAGTATGAAAATATGAAAAGTCTTTTTTTGTAATTAAACAATAATGTTTCTGTAAGAGCAGGAGCCTTCATATGCTCAGTAAAAACAACTCAATTTGTTGCATATGCATTGGTCTCCAATCTGAGTGTCTCAGGCAGGATTCATTGCATTTCATGGTGTCATTACATGCACAGTGCAGTGTACATGTTATGCTCTCAGAACCAGGTTTACAGCAATGTCCTGTAATGAAACATGGGCAAACACTGCTACAAACACCTTGGACTAATGTGTTTGATTTTTAAATTAATTTTTGGTTGTTGTGCATTCCGAGGACTTGTACTGTTGCCAGGTCGTGTGTGTGTGTGTGTGTGTGTGTGTGTGTGTGTGTGTGTGTGTGTGTGTGTGGGAGAGAGGGAGAGAGAGAGAGAGAGAGAGGGGGAGGGGGAAGGAGAAAAGAGGAGAGAGAGAGAGAGAGAGAGAGAGAGGTGGGGGGAGAGAGAGAGAGAGACTTCATATTCAGTTTGATTGTGATCTCCTGTTTACAAAGCTATGGACTGACAATCACAGTAGGAAAATGGACATGTACATAAGGAAGCTAGGTAGAAATGACCCATCAGAGTCAAGGCAGGTGTTAGGAAGCCACTGACAGGAGCGCCACCACTGCTACATTAACTTTCTTCCTGATTGTGTTTTTGTGTCCTAGCTGAAGTGCAGAGTGTGGGGTAGGCACAGCTTCCCGAGTCTTTGTTGTAGTTGGTAGGAAATCTCCCTTTGGTTTCTCCATCTTGACTGGACTCAGAAAGTCACAATGTAAAGGATTTGTCAAAGGTGGAAAAGGGGGATATGTTGGATAAGGAAGAGGAAGAGTCCCTCTTAATCCTAAGTAAAGTTGAATAGATTCCTTCATGAGTACCATTAAAGTAGATGTCTTTTCTTACATTTTGGAATTTCTGCTTTTTTTCTTTTCCTTCCTTTTCTCTCTCTTTCTTTTCTTATTTATTCCTTTCTTTCTTTCTTTCTTTCTTTCTTTCTTTCTTTCTTTCTTTCTTTCTTTCTTTCTTTCTTTCTTTCCTTGATGTTTTGAGACAGGATTAATCTATGTCACCCTGGCTGTCCTGGAACTCACTATGTAGACCAAGCTGGCTTCAATCTCAGAGATCCTCCTGCCTCTGTCTTTCAAGTACTGGAGTTAAAGGTGTGTATCACCACACCTAGCTAACTTCTTTTTATTTATTTATTTAAGAATTTCTTACAATACCTTTTTATCATATTCGTTCTCATCTCCAACTCCCTCCCCACTGAAGTATGTTTCTAAAGAATTCTGCATGAAAAGTATCTGTGTGTCTCTAAAATAAAATAAAATAAAAAAATCTAAAGGCATATCAATGTCCAGAAAGCATGTAGTTGTTTATGATTTGTAAGAGTCGTAGTAGCTTACTAGAGAAACACAAGTTTTATTCTTTTTAAAGAAAGCCAGAGTTAGCCATCCCTGCCATTCACAGCATGACAAAGGCAACGTACAAAGTACATATTTTTCTCGGAAGCAGAATCACAAAGAACAGATTGATAGACATGCACAGACTTTTTTTTCAACATTTTCCTTGGGTGAACAAAAACCAATTTACATTTAAAATGTATCCAGGCTATTGTCACTGATAAAGTAGATAAAAAGAAATGTACAGGAAATACGCATCTTGACTCCTCTAGAACCCCTGGGGGTGAACCAGTATAACTGACAAAGGATGCATTAGTGTTCTTTCCAGTCCCCACAGCCCAGAAGTGTCTGCAGTGTGTCTTCATGAATGGTAGTCTTGAAGTGAACAAATAAGGTGATATATGGAAACTTTTCCTAGATGTTTCTGTGCCTCAGGCTATGTGGGGAATGCTTACCTGTGTGAAAAATCCTTCAGGGAATATTTTACTACACACTGAGACACTTTTGAGCCCAGTACTGGGCTGGGCTCCAGTAACAGTGCGTCCATTGTAACCGCAGAGGGCAATGTGGAATGAGCACACATACAGACACGTGACTTTGAGGTAAATATTTTCATGGCCAAGCAGAATAGTTAGGCATATCAAACTGCCTAGAGATTCTGTAACCTGGTAACATATGGGTGCATATTCCAAGACAGAAGGTGGAGCTCCTGTCTCAGAGTTCATGTGTAGTAGACACTCCCTGGTTTCCGGTCCTTTTTTATTTTTCTTCCCAGGACTTCACATGTTTCCCTGCCTTAAAGATTTCTTTTCAGCTATTGCCTATAATGAGAAAATGAAGAGTTTTATTCACTGGGTGGTTTTGTTTCCTCAGTAATTAAGAGCTGACCCGTAAAAAACACGTAGCAGGAAAAGGATGCTTCATGCAGATTTTGTTAGGGTTGTAATGGGGTCTTCCTGCAGTTGCCTGTTCTCTGTGTTCCAGAGCTCTCGTGAATGAAGTCACATTCTGACTTGAAAGTCTGGGAACTTACCTGTATGAGGCGGCCTTGCTTTGAATTGGGGTCCAGGCACCTTTGTCTTTTTTGTGCTTTCAGGGTAACACTGTTAAGGAAGACACAGAGAAGTCTTAAACTTTAGGGGAAAGTGTCAACAAAACAAAACACCTATGCCACGGTCATCTCCAGCAAGCCCATTACTTACATCACTTCAACTTTGTCACAGCTGTAGCTCCTGTGAAGTATGGAGACTGTCTCAATGTCTGCCATCTTAACTGCTTTCGCTAAGGGTCCTATGCAAAGACAGCGCCCCCTTTTGAACACACTGAAGCCTGGAACAGACCACAGAGCTGGTTAGTAACGGCTGTGATTTACAATCCGGGCAGTGAACGGCAGACACAATTCTACTAATCTCATTTGTGCTGATTGGAATTAAGCTTGAATCTCTCTGTAATATTTCCCTCTGCTTTACACTAATTTATTATAACCTTGATTATTTCATTCATTGATTTTTATTAATTATTTAATCTAGGTTTCAGATAGGACTCACTTTTGCTGTTTGACCCAGGCTGGCCTTCAGCTCGCTGGAAAGCCCAGGATGACCTTGAACATGAAGCAGTACATAGCAGGCCCCGCATCTTAGTCCCACCTCAGCTCAGCATCTATAAGTCCTGAGCTCACACTGTGGTGTGTGTGTAGGCCACCAGCCCAGCACTTGATTACATTAAATAACTACACAACATACAGGACACCAAGAGCAGAGTGGCTATTTTCTTCTGTATTATTCTAGATTAAAACTAAGTATCATAAATCATGTTACCCTCCACAGCTAAAATTATCTTTCAGACCTCACAAAGATTTGTTATTTTATAAGAGCAGGGAGAGTTCTAAAAATGACTAGGTCGTCTTATAGACTCCATATTGCTTAGCCCAGATCTGCTCTGATAATCACACAGGAACCGTCATATCCCAGGAAACACAGTTTTCAGTTTATGGGGAAATGTTAATAATGTTTCTATTTTGGAGACAGTATTCTTTTTGGAGAGGCCTGCAGAGAGTTGTCAGTGCCCATAGTGTCCTTAAAACACTCTTATCCTCAAGCAAAGTATTAATCAAACATATATGGCATTACTATGACCATTGCCCCAGAGAGAATTTTCTTTTTTCTATTCTGAAAATACTGGTTATGATAAATTAGTGGTCTCATGCTTTAAAAGCTAATTTTCCTAGGAAACCAACATAATCCATATAAGATTCTCTGAGTAGACACTGAGAGCTGACTCTAAAGTCTCTTGCTAGATAATTGTCAGAAAATTAAGAAATCCATAACATTTACGATCCATAGATAAAATGATCATTTCATATAAAGATTTCCAACATTTCCTGCCAGTGCTAGAACTTCTAATATGTGAAATTGAGGAAATTGTGTATTCTAGAGAAAAGACATTTGAAAGATAACAAAATGAACGTATGGGCTCAGAAGCAAAAGGAGCCATATACCTTGAATGGTTGTAGCACAGATGATCACAGCCAAGGCTATGGCCATGCCCTTCATGTTCATCTCGGTGGTGGCGACTGCTGCTGCTGCTGCTGCTGCTGCTGCTGTTGCTGCTGCTGTGTGGCTTTGATGCTCTGTGCAGAGAGCAGTGGAAAGGCTGGACCTGAAGAGTGTACCAGGATCATTTTATAGACCAGCAATTGAAACAGGAATTTCCCTTCTTGACTCATGTAGCTTTCTTGCTTCCTAGAGTTTCCCTTTTGTGCCTCTGCCAGTTCCTGGAGTGAAGACAGTGACTGGAATGAGAAAGCACTTGGGAACTAGAGAGCTGTACACACAATAGCTCACCCCCAGGGCTTGCAGTCCTCTGAGGTGACTTTCCCCAGAAAAGCCTTTGTCTGGTGATTTGGGGCAGTGTAATTTCAAGTCCCAGAGTCAGGATGACCTCCACAGTGCCAATCAGCTCATCCTCCTCCTTGACATAACTACACCAAGGGACACGCGCAGTAGGCCTGGGTTATTTGTTGACAGGTGACCTTTACATTATCTTGCTTTCAATTTCATGTCTGAAACACTCTCCCCTTACCTGTACACTTACATCTATCTCTTTTTGAATTTTAGAGCCGTGTGTGTGTGTGTGTGTGTGTGTGTGTGTGTGTGTGTGTGTGTTAGTGCTTACGCTTGTATATTTTCTGTTAAGGACTATAAAACAAAGTCATCACCTCTTCCTGTTCCTCTTAAGTTTTCTGAATCTGTTTTAAATGTGTCACTCATAGAAATGTAATGAGTCCAAGTCCAGGGGACTATTTTTTAAAGAACTTTAGGCTGCGGTGGGGGTGGCACACACCTTTAATCCCAGCATTCGGGAGGTATAGGCAGGCGAATCTCCGTGAATTAAAGACCAGCCTGACCTACAAAGCAAGTTCCATGTTTGCAGATCACTTAGAAGACTGCAGGAGCAAAGGCAGAATGAAAATGGGTCCCCTCCCTTCCCCCCTGTGGATGACACAGGTGGTCTGTAAGGCAGCTGCTGTTATTCCATGTCCACCTGGAAGTGGGAGAGCCCTGTCCTCCACATGGGTATGGCGCTATCTGCCTTCCCTCAGAAATCACAGTGTCAATGCCAAGGAAGGTTTATTTCAGTCTTTACTTCAGGTCTTCAGACAATAGATGTGAAACTATGGTGAGCTGGGAGGGGGGCTGCTTCTGTATTGAAACATCCTTGCCCAATTTCCCACACCTAAGGAAAGCCCAGCCTAAGGGTTGGCAGGTGCCCGCCTTCCTCTCAGTAATCTAGTTTCCTGGAAAGCGCCGCAAGTGCCACCCTTTTACAGCAGTTAGTAAATATTCTCTCACGTTCAAATGTATGTCACAGCCCTGGCATTCTTACAGACATTGTAACCAGACAGGGAATTTTGTAACTTTTGCCTTACACATACAATTCCATTTTGGCTGGCTCTGCAGATGTGTGGGGTGGGAGAGTTCTTTAGGGTTGGTTCTCACTTGTTCTCACCTGACCGTCTATGGGGTCACACAAGAAAGACTTGCTGTCAGCACATCCCCTCACCCACGGATCTCCTGTGCTTGTGATCTGGACTGGGTCCCTTGAGTTGCCATGTCTTAGCTTCATTTCTTTTTTTGCCATGGTCTCCTGCTATGGAGTTCAGGTTGGCTTAGCTTGTGACTGTCCTCTTGCCTCAGACTTTCAAATGCTGAGAATATAGGCATGTGCCAATACGACTGGGCTCTCACTTCTTTTTAAAATGTGACATCGTAATATTCATATTATGTAATGATTATTTCTTCTAGTTTTATAGAACTAACTGCTCTTGCCTAGCCTTATCCAGGAATAATGGGAACTACATCCATGATTTTAAATCTCTAGTAGCCACATTTAAAAAATAAAAATAAATAAAATGAAAATAATTTAAGCGATGTATTTGTGTAATTCAAAACATAAAAGATTATTTTGCTGCCTAATCAGCAATAAGTGAGATTTTATCTATTCTTTATTATTAAATGTTCAAACTGAGCCAGTCACATGCCAAATGCTCAGGAGCCATATGTACTTAGTAACTGCCACATGGGACAGGAGGGCCTAGTTAGTCCATGTGTTCCACGGTTAATGTGTACTGGCTGCCAGGGTGCTCACTCTAAAACAGCTGAAGACAACAAGAGAGGCTATGATTTTGCTTTTCTGCTGCGTCTCTCAGTTTCCCTAATAGTGTTCTGTTCACTGTAAATTGTATCTCATTGCTCTTTTCTTTAAGTAAGTGAAAAAAGATTAAACTATAGTTTGTTTTCAAAACATCTTTATTATTTTTAATTATGTATTTGCATGTGTGGTTGTGTCAGACGTGTGTATGTGAGTGCAAGTGCCCTGAGAGGCCAGCAGCATGAGGCTACCAAGAGCTGGAATTACAGCTGGTCCCGATTCTCCAGTGTCAGTGCTAGGACTTGAACTCAGGTCCTCTAAACGTTTGTTCTTTTAACCACTGAGACATCCATCCAGCCTCCTAAACTACATAATCTGTCCTTTCAGGACTGTTGCCTTTTTTGTTGCATTGGGCTATTTTCTGTTTTCTACTCCAGGTCTACCTACTCAGGGTGATCCCTTGGATTTAGGGACTACCCAGGAAATGAATCTAATTTCCATCTTTTAAACACGTGTATCATTATGGGGGGGGGGAGGTGTTCAAGACAGGGTTTTCTGTAGCTTTGGAGGCTGGTCCTGGCCTGGAACTCACTCTGTAGACCAGGCTTGGCCTTGAACTCACAGAGATCTTCCTGCCTCTGCCTCCCAGGTGCTGGGATTAAAGGCTTGCACCACCACCGCCCAGCAAGTTTTCTGTTCTTGTGGAAGGGCAAGGGCTTATTTCTGCTTACAGGTTACTCTCCATCACTGAGGGAAGCCAGAGACAGAACTCAAGCAGGACCTGAAGCAAAGACGGTGGAAGAATGCTGCTTACTGGCTTGCTCCTCGATACCTTTTTCATATATACCAAGACTACCTGCCTGGGGGATAGTTCTGCCCACAGTGGACTGGGCCTTCCTCATATCAACCAATAATGACCACAGGCCGGTCTGATGGGTGCCACTCTTCAGTTGAGGTTCCCTTCTACTGGGTCACACTAGGTTGTGTCAAGTTGACAATGGAAGCTAACATACCATGTGATACATTTGATCTTTTAGCAGTGCTGCCAAATGATTCAGTCCATGTAGACTTTAAAAGTCTGGGCCTGATGGTGTAGCTCAGAGGTGGCATAGCTGCCTGGTACATCATCTGTAGGCTCTGTGATTGATCCCTGAAATTCTCAACATGGTTTTCAAATTTGAAGATATTAACACAGTTCATTTAAGTGTAAGGTGAACTCTCCATTCCATAAGTTTCAGAAATGCATACTGACTCCCCCCACCACACACACACCTAATGTTAATAATAACAAGGACATTTTCTTCAGTTTGGTTACTGAAAAGTGGGCTAGAAATGGAAACTATAACATTTTCATTTATTAGAAACCAGTGTGATGTAACAGATCCTGTTTTAGGTTTATAGAAGACGGTTGACTCACTGCTTGGGGGGGGGAGGGGAAGGAGAGTGCCAGAAGTCTAAAGTAACATGCCTGGACAGAGCACAGTGATGCCCAAACCCAGCTCCTTAAACCTAGGATAGCACAACCCCTGCTGCCCTTTATCAAGCAATTCAATCACTTTCAGGAGCTGCTAGTCAGACATGATGATTGCCTGATAACATTAAAATACTGACCCAAAAGTCAGGAAAAACCCTACACACCGTGTTCAGAGTCTGTCAGACCCTGAGTAAGCACAGTGCAGGAAACAGAAACTAGACATCAATCATGTAAACACAGAAGTCCACTAAAAGCGCCAAGGAAATCGTTCATTTTGTTGTTGCTTAAAAGAGCCCTGGAGTGACAATGGATTTTGAATAAAACTGTTTTTGAGTGTAAACTTAGTGTTCTGGTAATTCAACATAAGAAAACATTTTCAAAAGTGCATTCTGCCCATGCCAACTGTTATCTGGAGCAGATCTGCCAGGGTTCATGTTTCATAGCACCGCTTAGTGTTTGATAAGAGCTGTTCCCAGATGTTACAGCACCGAGTATGTGTACCGAGTAAGGGGCAGTTTCAGGGGCCACCACCATCTGACTGACCTCCTCAAGCCTGAGAGCCACCGTGAGTCCTCTCTCCTGCCTCGTTTGCCTGCCTTGTCAGAAAGAAACAAAACTGTGGCTCACTGAAACCATGCTGAAATCTGCTTGCCTTGGGTGCTAATGGGAGGCACTTCAGTGTCTGAAAGGTAGAGAAGGAGAAACAGCTTTTGACTTCCAGCAATCAGAGATTTTAAAAGCTGTTTATTTTGTCTGCATGTACACACACACAAACACACACACACACACACACACACACACACTCACATATATATATATATATATGCCTGAAGTTGATGTTGACTGTCTCCCTGGATTGCTCCCTGAGGCAGGATCTCTTGCTGATTCCAGAGCTTGCCAATCAATTCTGGCTAAATTAGCCAGCTTGCCCCTGTCTGCCTCCCAAGTGCTGGGACTGTGTGCGGTCACTGTCATGAGTGCCTGGCCTTTATGTGTGTTCTGGGGATGTGAACTCCAGTCCTCACACTTGACAGGGAAATGTTTGGTGCCCCTTGTCAACGCCTCAGCCCCTGATAAACAGTTCATGAGAGTTGGTTCTACCATACCCATTTGTGCTGATCTAGTGCCCGCTGTCTCCATCTTGTTCCCACCCTTAATGGACTTCTTATTGGATGGGTTAAATTTACTGTGTGTTTTCTTCTGTTAAACTATAGGCAAGTGTTCGTTAAGCTGTTTTCATTCCTTTTGGCAATTGAGTTTGGGCTACAAAGAGTTTGTACTGTTTCCCTTCTGGATACTTCTCTACCCTTTTAGAAGAAAAATTATCAGATAATAATAATTATTATTATTTTCTCTTTCTTTTTTCTAACCTGGGAAAGCAACATTGCTTTATCTATAACCAGACTTGCTTGTCTGGGGATGTCACTTTTTATGAAATCCACTGCCAAGCTAATTATATCAGTATATAATTAACACATGCCTAAGCTGTTCACTTATTTTTATGATTTATTTCTTATTTTTATTTGCATTAATGTTTTGCCTGCATGTATTTATGTATGAGTGTGTTGGATTCCCCTGAAACTGGAGTTACAGAAAGTTGTGAGCTGCCGAAAGTTGTGAGCT